GGCACACAGACGCTTCTTGGGCAGACGACGCTGAGACGCTCAGGTCGTCGCAGGGCTACTGTTTCAGCCTTGGTTCGGGTGCTATCTCTTGGAGATCCACTCGCTCGTCGTCTGTGGCTCAGTCTAGCTGTGAGGCTGAGATCTACGCTGGTGCCATGGCGGCACAGGAGCTCCGCTGGCTGACCTTCTTGCTCACAGACTTAGGTGAGCGGCCTAGCTCTGCCCCGGTCCTGTACGCTGACAACAGGGCCATGATACTCCTGTGTCAGGAGCCTCGGCTTGAGGGCAGAGCGAAGCATATCCAGCTGCGGTACTTCCTCCTGCGCGAGCTACAGCAGCGCCGCCAGGCCCGCGTAGTTCACTTGGCCTCAGGTGCCAACACAGCTGATATCTTTACTAAGGCGCTTGCGCCTAAAGATCATCAGCGGCACTGTGTACAGCTTGGTCTTGTTCCTATAGCTGCTCCCCTGTTAGGATCCTGATTGTGTACTCTCTATTATATATGCTTGTCAGACTGGCCTTGTGGCCTTACCTCCAGTGGCTGGACTAGTAGTGCCACCCTGGCTTGCTTCAGTTTTGGTTGTATTCTTGCTGACTGGTCTCCAGACCCCTGCCTCAGTGGTTGGACTAGTAGTGCCGCCCTGAGCTGTTTGCTTCTTGTTTAGTTTCACCCCTTGTCTAGCCTAGGGGGTGTGTCAACTTATACATATTATCTATGTAGAAGTTATAGGCTAGACTGAGGTATGCTTCTAGTGAGTACAACCAACTAGTATTTGTTCTAGGTTTCCACCTCTAGTAATCATTCGTTTCTACGTTAACAGGCTTTATCTCAATTTTGTAATATACATTTTCCAAGGCTGTAGTGTGGCCCATTCTGAGGGTATTGCACATAGCTTCTCATCCCACCGTAGGGTATCTGGGGTGATCGGGGCAAGGAAATCAATCCCAGCACTTTCACTGCCAGCCAAGCCTGCGCCTCAAGCAAGACCATGTTGGCATGGCGTGGATGGGATGGGATGGATGGGAGTGAGGGGCAATGAGCGTATGTGGAACGCTGCGGTGCGCGTTTGTGTGCTGGCCTGCTGTGGGTGGGACCAGCTTGTCGCAATCACCTTGTCGTGTTATAACATTGCTCGCTGTTCTGTGGGGCCGTTGTGTCCTTCAATGGGGGAACAGCACTGTACTGTACTGTAGGCAGAAGGTTGGGGACATAAGTTTCGGGCAGGGCCACGCTAGTTCGGAGATTTTGCTCACTGTCATTTTGGGCAGACTGGGAACGTTTGGGCTACCCCATCCTGTGGTCTGAACGAGAACCTAGCGAGGGCGCATTCCGTGCTCGTGACATCATTAGCCTCATTCTGGAAGACCCGAAGTTCCAAAACGCAGGCAAACGTTGAGAAGACACGAGCATGGAATGTGCCCTGAATTGGTTGCCATCCAAATCGAAACAATTGGTTGAGAAAGTTCGGTTTCTTGTACATCAGTACGTCTCGGTTGATTTCGAACCGTGCAGCATCCTGTCCTCATTCTTTTAGCTCAGCGCTGCTTTTTCCTGCGAAGCAATGTCGGCCAAGTCTAAATATGACACCCCTAACAGGGTTTCCCCTGCACTAGTACAGAGGCCCCTCCCCCAATCGGACTAGCCAGGGCATCGAGGCTCTTGCCCGGATCTACCACACGCCGACCTATTTTGGTGCATAGCTGTGCACAGTTTAGACTTTCCGTCTTGGATGGGTATGTAGGAAGGGTGTGAGGGGTTGGGGTTGGGGCGGGCTCACATCCAGTTTTTGTCCACACGGCAGATCTGGGTACCCCTCTCGCGGGACCCGGAGAAAACGGGTTTATGTCAAACGTTTTCCGTCAATGTCCGGGTTTACCTGGGATTTTCTCCGTGGGAACAATAGCTCTTACGAAAAGTTCATGGATTCTAGTAGCGGAACCACGTGAGAGTACTCCGCTTACCTTATGTACTTCCACCTCTGAAGCTTCTTTGCTAGGGCTGATTTTCCCTAGGGAGGGGGAGTGGCCGGGGGTTGGTGGGGTAGTGTGAGAATTTATACTATCCGTGTTTGTCAAATCCTAACACGTCACTTCACGTGTTCTGGTCCAAATGTACCCGTCAGTGTCCGGGCTCTGAAAATTAAACACCTCGCAATCCGATTTTGGTCGAAACCACGCCTATTATTTTGTCAAAATTTGAACAATTACCCGTCAAAAATAAGCCCTGGTCACATCACAGGCACTTCAATTTTGACCACGTGCACATTGATAGGCGCATGCCCTCTGGTTCAGCAGCCAGTCCCAGAAATCTCCGAAGATGCGCTGCTACTTTCGTGAAGTTCTGTGCGTCGCGTCGCCACTTCAGCAGCAGCTTTGTGTGAGTATGAACAGTGTAACGCGGAGTCTTGTAAACCGCGTCACGTTACTTCCAGGTCTCAGCAGCTGCAGCGCAAAATTTGCTGGTTGCTTCTTGCACATTTTCTCTGAGGCAACGATGGGTACAATATTCCGCTTTGTGTGGAATACCAAATTTCCAACACCATGCAATTCCGCCTTGCTGCGAGTTCCGCCTCGATCGAAATTCGTCATATGTTTCGGGAACCCCCCTTTTTTTTCGAGAACCGTCAACCTATGGTGGGTCCCTCATATGGCGTGTTTGCTGTTTTCGAACTTCCAGCCATCGGCTATGTCGCATCGAAAAAGGTCAAGCGAAGTTGGTGACAGCTGTTCACTGAACATGTGGGGCTCATCATCGCAGTTGAGGCTCACGTTGTCGCATGTGGTGTTGAGAAATGCACACACCGCAAACAAGCACCTTTTGTTGGGACGACTTCGCCTATTCCCAATCCATGCCAGAGCCCTTTTGCACTTGTACTCAAGCCAATCAAATCATTTTTGGGCAGACAGAGAAAATATAGACCCGTGAGGGAACCTGGGTGTACTGGACTCCAGGAGGCATCAACCCTAAACTCGTTTCGGGCAGAGAAAGAAACCTCGTGATTGGCTTGAGTACAGATGAACACATCGCCTGACATAATTACCGCCTTTTCTTCCACGACCTGCCCTCCCTACGCTCCATCACACAGGCGGTTTACTGCACTGTAGAAGGGGATGGTGAATGTGATTGGACAGACGTGGGATCGCAGTGGTGGGATGAAAATCAAGTGCTCTGCGCACCCGTAAATTCTGATGCTGCACTTGAAGATCTGGGCGAATTTGATGTTCGCCGACATCGGATGGCGAGAACTTTGGAATTCGGTGGAAACTGGTGGATTTCAGTGGGTTTCAGAAAACTGCTACGGATGTCGTGGACATCACACACGCTTTTCCATCCTTTGTAGGATATTGTGATCAACTTTTCACGAATTTCAAAAACTTATTCGCGACTTACCCAGAGAAAACCACGCAAAGCTGGCCCAGTCACAATCAGGCTTTTCCCCGGCTGCAGCAGTGTTCCCTGCTTTTTAATCCTGCTGGGATTTCATATTGCTCTGGACCAAATATGGCTTTGTGTGGGAAACCACAGACGAGGACGGGTTGAGCCAGCCCCTTTGAGCTGGCCCGGGGTCTCAAAACGAACTTCAACCCATCCCAGAGTATTACCTTAACATATGTGAGTTCTCAAAGGAACCAGGGAACTCTCACCTGCTCACGACGGCACTGGAACAACATTCGGTTCAGTGCGCGGGTCTTTTTTAACTGTTGTGCCCCCTTCCAGTGTTTTAAATCTCCTTCGTGGTACCCTCTCTGTAGGATCAACCACTCGTCACTCCATATTACACTGCTAGTGCTTCGGGTGCTCGGGAAATACCCCCGGCGGTCGTTTCCGCGTTGTGTCACGTACAATCACATTCCGCTAAAAACAAACGCAGCCGTCCTGACGTACACGCTTGATGTTAACGAGTTAAAGAGTGTACAGAGTTCGGAGAAAAATAACACCGGAATCAGGCTTGTAAACCAACTACTGTAGTTTGTTCTGCCAATCACCATGCTTTTCGCCCGCCACCAGGGAAGAAGAAGAAAAAGAGAAAGGCTTGCCATCTGATCCCTCGGACCACCTGTGTCAGCTTCCACGTTGTTTCCGCAGGAGGAGAATGAAACCAAACATTGTTGGCGTCAATTGGGGTTTTTCAATTGGGTTACCATCGTTTGGGATTTTAGTATTTTCTGTGATAAAATACAAGATAAGGGCGAAAACAAGCCACAACTGGAGAAGGAGCGACAAAAGAAAATGGGTAGTTGTGAGAAGTGGAAGGGGTAGGAGGAGTGGGAATCTATTTCTAAGGGTAAGAAAGGATTCGTGCTGGAAGTAAAAAGAAAACAGGCAGGTGGGTGGGAGCCTGGGCAGCCATGGCGATTGTGCGGACACCACTGAACAAGATGGCAGTGTCTCTAGCTCAAGGTGATTTCGACAGATGGGCGAGCGATTGACCCGCCCCATCAGGGTTTAGGCAAGTGGGCTCTGGCAAGGCAACTGGTCTGCCTGTCCGTCGTGGCCATTGAACGGGCAAAGCGCCCGCAAGGACGCGTCACGCATGCCTGGGTGCCTGCCATTTCTTGCCACATCCACCACCACCAGCGCCCGCCAGCCGTGCGTGGCGCGCTCTTGTTCCATTCATCTCCCGCCTGCCTGTCTACACTCTCCACTCCACCCGACCAGAGTCCACAGACCCGACGCCCCCCAACCACCCCCGCCCGGCGCCCAAAGCCAAAACACTTCCCATGAGCTTGCGCAATATTATCCGTCCTTGCAGCCAAAAACCCCTTCCCACTGGGACCAATCTCCTCTTTTTCCGAAACTCAGGGTCAATCCACTTGGGTAAATCACCCTCTTCCGGTTCTATCGGTTACTGTAGGTCAATTTTCCAAACCTCCCCATTCATCCCCCCTCTCTCGTCCGTCGAATTTCTTTTCTCCCACAGCTGCCTAGCAGCCTACAACTAATGTGCCCTCCCTCCCTGTCCTCGCAAGCATAAAGCCAAGGGAGGGGCTCTTCCCCCTGCCGATTGCTACAGATGTCGCCATCACGTCTTGATCGCCTGACTCTTTCCGGGAGTGCTGCTTGTAGTACTACCCTCATCGATCCTACTCATTAATCCTGCTCTAAAAAATCTTGCTCACATTAATCCCCTCATGTTCGTTTCTGTGTAATTCCTCCTCAACTACTCGTCCGACGATCACGATGGCCGACACGCTTTTAGAGCTCGCGTGCCCAGGCTCCTCCGCAGCCGACCCGCCTCGTTCGGGCCTAAACGCCGAGCGCGGGCCGGTTACAATCTCGCCTTCCCCCGCGTTTCGCGCTGCGCCTCTTCATCCCGCCGATCTCGGCGCCGTTGCCGCCGCTGCGGCCGCATCATCGGCTGCGGCGGCTGCGGCAAGAGCTTCTCCGATTTTCGCGCCGCCGCCGTCGCTCGCGGCGTTCAAAGCGTCGCTAGAGGCTCGGTCGGCGCTGCAGCCTGGCTGCGTGTTGCCGAACCTCCCGACGAACCTGTCCCAAAGCCTGCTTGCCGAGCTTGCCGGCGTTGCAAGCGCCGGCCAGTCTGCAGCAGCCGCAAACGCCGCCGCAACCAACGGCGGGCCTTCCGCCGCAGGAGCCGGCAGCGGTGGCGGAATGAGAATGGACGAAGCCATTATGGCCCTTCAGCCGTTAGTTCGACTGGGGATGCAACAGCAGCAGCAGCAGAAGCAGCAAGCGCAGGCGCAGGCGCAAGCAGCGCAAGCGGCACAGGCGGCGCAAGCAGCGCAAGCGCAAGCGCTTCTGCCCGCGCTGCTCCAGCAATACGCGAACCTCCCGTCCTTCGTCCGCAATCTCAAGCAGCAAGATTCAGCCGCCGCCGCCGCCGCCGCCGTCGGGTTGCACGGCGCTCGACTCGATATCGCCGCACGTGCCGCGCAGGGCGGCTCGTCGGCCGCGGCGGCTTTTCAGCAAGCCGTTCTCCGCGATATCGCTCGAGCAACCGCCGCTTCCGGCGCAGCTATCGGCGGCCCTGCCGGCGACGCCGGCGGTGCTGCCGGCGCGTCGGCTGCGGCGAATCTTCCTCCCAAACGCGGCTCGGTCGGTCGGGACCTGGACAATCGCGATGCGGCGGCGGTTGGCGCGTCGGCGGTGCGGCCGGACGCGGCGGACTTGAAACTGACCGTCGGATTCGGCGGATCGCCCGGCGGGGGATGCGGCGACTTCAACCAGGATACTTATCGCCATCGCGAGACGCTGCCGGACGACGCGAACGACGAACACGCCCGTCGCACGCGCGAGAACCGTCGCGTCGCCGCCGACGCGGGCGACGCCGGCGACAGCTCGGGCGACAGCAACGTGGAGACCTGCCCGGGGCAGCAGCGGGGCGCGGGGGCGGGGAACGGCAGCCCCGCGGGAAAATGTAGTCCGGGGGGCCCCGGGGGAAGCAGCGGCGGAACCGGCGGGGGAGCGGGCCGGGCGGGGATGAAGCGGAGCGCGGGCGCGCTGGGGTCGGAGCTGGATCTGGACGGACTCGGGGGGGACGCTGCGCGCTCGGTGCGTCCGCGGACCGTGGCGGAGCGGAAGAGGCGGAACAACATCAGGTATGGCGGACTCGTGAGATGGCCCTGTCACACTCTGCGCTCGCGATGTTCGTCACTCCCCCCCCCCCTTTCCCCCACGCTTTCCCCCATCCTTCCCCCCGCCCATGCGCGTCATCCGTCGTACGCGCGCGTCTTCCGCCGGTGCGCGTTGTGTCCGCCTTCCGCACTGTCGTTTTCCACGATTTAAAGCGGCGATTTCTCTCCCCCCTCCCCCTCCCCAACAGCCACCGCCTGGAGCAGCTGAAGGCGGCGATCCCCCTGTGCAACCCGCGCATCACCACGGAAACGCTGCTGTGCGAGACGCTGACGTACATCGACGCGCTAAAGGCCAAAATCCGCAACTTGCAGGCCGAGAAGGCGAACCTGCTGGAGCACGTGCTCACTCTGCAACCACTCGTGTAACAATCCTTGTTGTTACCGCCAGGCGCTGCCTCCGCCCTGCGTTTTTTTTAAGTAAGGTGACAAAAGAATCATATGGTATTTTTAACGGCTTGCTGTGCGAGAGACGGGTGGGTGGTCCAAGCCTGGAGCTGTCTGTTTCTCACCACCTGCCTGCACTACAGTCAGCAGCAGCATCAGCCTCACCTACTACCTACCGACCCCATTGCTCAGTGCCGTCAACTACCAGCCTGCTTTCCTCCAACCAACCCTCCTGCTTCATGGAGCTCCACTCGCAATGCTGCGCATCTTCTAAGACGTGCCCAAGGAACGCTTCTATGCCTGCCCTGCAGCAACTGCTTCTGCCATGCAGCCGATGCTGCGGGGCTGAGCTGCTTCTAGTGACCAGAGCCGAGCAGAAGGAGTGGCTGATAGGCAGACCTGGTGAAGGGAGAACTGCGAAAATGAGCGCCTGCTGGATGGCTGGACGGCTGGACGGCTGGACGGCAGGATGGCTGGATGGCTGGACGGCTGGATGGCTGGATGGCTGGACGGCTGGACGGCTGGACGGCTGGATGGCTGGATGGCTTCATTTTTCCTTCCGTGAAACCTCCCTCTGCTCACCTGCGACCTCCGTTTTGATGGCCTTCTTTTTTGTAGTCACCTACAAGGGGCATCTGGTCCCTTTCTCCCTTGTAGCAAACTCTAGAGCATCGCCATCGCCATCATCACCCTCATAGATGTTGTCACCATCGTCTCAACCAGCCCGATGCCCACTCTACCGTCGCTGTCGGCGCAGCCTATTCAGCAGCACGACGTGCCATGCAGCAACATGTGCCACGAGCCCAAGCCCAAGCCCCATCGCGCGCAACCTTGGCATGTCATCTTCCCTCCTTGGCATGTCATCTTCCCTCCTTGGCATGTCATCTTCCCTCCTTGGCCACTTTTGCCTAACGGCTGCATCCCACTGTCTCCAGCCCTGGCCGATCCTCCTCTTCGTCCTCCGTTCCTCCTCCGCTCCTCCTCCGCTCCTCCGTTCCTCCTCCGCTCCTCCTCCGTTCCTCCTCCGCTCCTCCTCTCGCCACACTGCTTCAAGGATGTGCTGAGACGGGGGCCTAAAGGTGTCATTCTAGGGCAGATCCACACCATACCAGTGTCCTCGAAGCCTCATCCACACCTTTTTTTCTGGCCGCAAAGCCTTGCTGCTGCTGCTCCTGCCGCTGCATGCGCCTCTGCAGCGGATTCCAGCCACGCCTGCTTCTGTTTGCGATGCCTTGCGTCCTGCTTTTCCGGGCTTCGCCTCTCCAGGCACGCTGTTCTGGACTCTGCAGAAGCGCTAGTGTTTTGCGTGCTGCATGCTGCCTGTTGCCTGAAGCAATGTTTACCTGGTGTGCATCACGTGTGGTGCATGAGGTCTGGTGTTGGGTGGCTTCCTGCCTTCTTTCTGCCGCCCTGCCTGTGTGTATTAATTTGCCTAGAGTAGTTAGTTACCCTTACAGCTGCTTGTGTTCACCCATGAGTCTGATCTAAACCAAACACATCCGTGCACCATGTAAGGATAACGCTACTGTAACAGCTGTCTTCCGGCGAGTTTTCCAAGTCACGAGACACACAACGAAGAGAACAGAGACCCTGTGATGTAGCCAGAGCTAGAGACCAGTGGACGGATGGGGAGCAACAGGGGAGGCATGCAACACAGTGCAATTCAATGCTAAGGAAGAAGATGTACTATACAAAGTGCAGCACTGAGGCTTGGCTTGTGCTACTAGGCAATCCATGCAGTGTGTGACAGTGCTGCCTGTACGAAGTGCATTGCTGTGTAAGCATTTCACATTACTGTGCAGGGAATTCACATTGCTGTGCAGGCAATTCACATTGCTGTGTCGCCTGTACTTCACAGCAATGCACACTGCCAATTCCTCTTCCATCCAGCCAAGCCCCCTCAAACCCTCTTCTTCTTCAGCAGACTGCTCGAGACACGGCCATCAACCTTCCCCTCTAAATCTTCCCCTCCCAAACAGAAAGTCGGCCATCAAACCCTCCTGATAGCAGCAGCAGTCCAGCAATTTGATCACCCCACCCACTGCTGCCATGGTCGGTGGCGCTGCCAGTATCACAACCCACAGCAGCAGCAACAGCAGCAGCAGCAAAGGCGAGGGCAGTGCATGGCCCCTGAATGTGGGACTGTGCATGTGCATGCATGAGTCGCCTCCATGGGGTGATGCTGACATCAGCGCCATGCCCATGCAAGTGCCATAGCTGGGTGGAAGGACGAACACATGGCATAAGGAGGGAAGAGAGATGATGTGCATGGGTACGGTGATGAGAGGGAGTGACGTGGTGAGGGGGAGGGAAGAGGTGAGAGGGAGTGAAGGGGTGAGGGGAAGTGGGAGTGAAAAGGTGAGAGGGAGTGAAGGGGTGAGGGGAAGTGGGAGTGAAAAGGTGAGAGGGAGTGAAGGGGTGAGGGGAAGTGGGAGTGAAAAGGTGAGAGGGAGTGAAGGGGTGAGGGGAAGTGGGAGTGAAAAGGTGAGAGGGAGTGAAGGGGTGAGGGGAAGTGGGAGTGAAAAGGTGAGAGGGAGTGGGAGCATGTGAGGGAGGGAATGGGAGCGTGTGAGGGAGTGGACAGATGGGTGATGGACAGATGGGTGATGGAACGACAAGAGTTGAATATGCGGCATGGCGACTGGATTGGATACCAAAGACGCATGCCTCATCACTGCTATCATCACATCAACCACGTGACAACACCACCAAAGAGAGGCACATGTGCGTGCCACATCATCCATCCGACCATCCATCCCACCACCCATCCCACCACCCATCCCACCACCCATCCCACCACCCATCCCAACATCCATCCCACCATCCATGCACCCCATCCCATCACCCACCCCGTCACGCATCCATACCAGAATGGAGCCGTCAGCAGCGCCTGCAGCCAGCAGCGGGCGGCAAACTGCCAGAGCCAGCAGCGCTGGCAGCGAGGAGCAAGGATCAGCAGTCGCAACAGCACTGGGAGTGCTGCTGCTAGCGGTGGTGGTGGTGTTGGTGGTAGCAGCTGTGCTGCTGGTGTTGCCTGCTGTTGCTGGTACGGGCGTGGCATGGTCCGGAGTGAGGAGCATGAGGCTGCTGCTGCCGTGCCACACCTCCACTCGCCCATCCTCCCTTGCACATAAGATCAGATCCCCCTCCTCATCCACCACCACCGCCCGCACACTCACACTCACACCCACCCCCCCACTCACACTCACACCCACACCCCCCATCCCTGGTCCCTGCCCCACGCCCATGCTGCTTCTGAATGCTGAGGTGCTGAAAGTGGGGCTGCTACAAACGAGTACGGCCATCGGGGAGTGGTCCGGTCGCCACCAGAGACGAACGGTGCCGTCCCACGACCCGCTGACAACCACCTGAGAATCCACCTGAATGGACGAGACAGGTGCTGTGTGCCCCTCCATAAGAGCTAGTAGGGCGAAGGAGCCCTGGGGGGAGATGGGGTGGGGAGGGGGGATGCAGTGGGGAAAGGGGGAAAGGGGGAAAGGGGGAAAGGGGAAAGGGGGAAAGGGGGAAAGGGGGAAAGGGGGAAAGGGGGAAAGGGGAAAGGGGGAAAGGGGGAAAGGGGGAAAGGGGGAAAGGGGAAAGGGGGAAAGGGGGAAAGGGGGAAAGGGGGAAAGGGGGAAAGGGGGAAAGGGGGAAAGGGGGAAAGGGGGAAAGGGGGAAAGGGGAAAGGGGGAAAGGGGAAAGGGGGAAAGGGGAAAGGAGGAAATGGGGGAAAGGGGAAAGGGGGAAAGGGGAAAGGGGGAAAGGGGGAAAGGAGGAAAGGGGGAAGTGAGGGGAGGGAAGTTGGTGCGAGTGGAGTCAATACACTTCACGGGACAGGTGCTGTGTGCCCCTCCATGCGAGCTAGTAGGGCGAAGGAGCCCTGGGGAGAACGTGGGGAAGTGGGGAGAGGGGGGAAGAGGAGAGGGAGGAAGTATGGGGCCAGGGGGAAGAGGGGCGAGGTGGAGAGAGGGGGAGAGAGGGGGAGAGAGGCGGGGAGGGGGGGAGAGAGGGGGAGAGAGGGGGAGAGAGGGGGAGAGAAATTTGCAGTGGGGCAAGGGCGAGAAAAGGTATGTTTGAGGACTAAAATGGGACAAGAGAAGGAGGAAATGCATACAGGAGAGCGATGAAGGCAGTAGATCAAAATCTGCAGCACGAGAGCATGGTGCAGACAGGATGAGAGAAGGCGGGATGACGAAGGATGAGGGAAGATGGGGGGGGATGGGGGAGAAGAAACGGGCAGGAGGAGAACGGGGAGGAGGGGAAGGGGGAGGAGGAGAACGGGGAGGAGGGGAAGGGGGAGGAGGAGAACGGGGAGGAGGAGAACGGGGAGGAGGAGAACGGGGAGGAGGGGAAGGGGGAGGAAAGGGAGGAAGAAGAAAGGGCAACGCAGATTGGAGGGACTCACATCAGCGTTGGGAGCCCATGCCTTGACAGTGCGATCGCCACTCCCACTGTACACCACATCCTCGTTACAGTCACCTGCTGCACCATCATTACACCCGTCATAATCACGGGGCTGAGGAGCGGCCAGCGAGAGCACACCGGAATACCGCCAGTCCTTCTCCTCGCTCCATGTGGTAACCAGACGAGGGGCGGGAATCGGTGTTACAACGGATGCTGTGGACGGCTGAGGAGTGGGTTTGGGATGGCGTGGGCTGGTGCGGAGCGTGTTTGCCGAGGGGATTTGGAACGAGGGGTAGGCGGGAAGAGGCGGGGCGGAAGGCAGGGATGAGGAAATGGTGGGAGGGAGGCGAGGGTGGGTTGGAGTCAAAAGCGGAGGAGCGGAAGGAGGAGGAGGGGGAGGAGGAGGAGATGGAAGTGAGTCAGCGATGTCCCATGCATGGAAGGACCCCCCATAGTCCCCACACACTAGCAGCTGGTCGTGCGCAGTGCCTGAGCTACTGGTGCCACGTGGCGCTATGCTATTGGCGAGAGTGAGTGCGGTGATGCGATGGGCGGGGCCTGAGAGCGTGTGCAGAAGGGAAGCTTCCTGGAAGGAGGGAGGGGGAGGAGTAACAGGGAGTGTGATAAGTGGGACGTCCTGTGAAACATTCGTTCCAGGAGGTAGGGAGCAATGAGAGCACGAGCCACTCCTTAGAACAAGACTACTCTCCTGCAACCCAAAGCGAGGGAAAGAAACATTTAAAACAAGATTGCAGTTGAACATAGCTATAGCGTGAGGCCCCAGGAGGGGGTGGATGGAAGACGCAGTGAGTGGAAAAGAAGTGGTAGGGACAACACGCGAGGAAGGTGTGAGGACGTGAGGGAGTGGAAGGGGGTTGGCTTGGGTGGGGGCAGGATGAATGGGCAAAGACATGCGTGAGGACGAGTGAACAACGATAGGCTAGTGAGAAGACGAACACAAGAAACAAGGTTATTCCGGCGGATGTGCATAAGACACGGTTAAGAATATATTGGGAAATTCATAGAACGTACCGGCAGGGACCACATGCGCACGGTCTTGTCGAATGAGGCAGTGAAGAGCAAGGAGGAGTCACTGGTAACCGCAACGGCGGTTACATTGTCGCGATGCGCCGCCACCTCATGCAGCAACACCATCTCACTCTCCACACCCAATCCTGACCTCTGGCCAATCAGATCAGATCTTTCACAATCCAGATCAGATCTCTCGCCACCCAAATTCAACCTTTCACCGTTCAATGCTGACCCTTCACCTCCCAAACCCGGCCTCTCCAATTCTTCCCTGCTCTCATCCCTGCGTCCCACTCCCCCTTCATTAGTAGCACTCCCTTCAAGTCCTTCCTGCAGGCCCCCTGCTTCGTTATCATCACCCCCTGTAATGCGTGCTTCACCAGATCCAGATGCTGCAACGACTCCTTCGTTACTATCACCCGCTCCCTTATTATCACGTGCTTCGCCAGGTGCTCCATGGCTAGTACTGCCTGCAGGCCGGCCCAGCAGCCACTCTCGCTCCGACTGCTTCCTACTATACCTGCTACCCCCCCTATTATCACCCACTGGTAGCGTCTGCGGTGTAGAACCATCGCCAGTGCGACTATTGTCTCGTTCTGACACTAACCCTAAATTTCCGCGCCGGACACTACCCCTCCTGCTGCTGCCTCTGAATCTGCTACTTAGCCTAGCGCTGCTTACGGCAATACCGCACTCGGCTTGCTCAGTGCTACCGTCAGATGCGGCGGCAGATTGGGTGCGACTGGAGGTGCGAATGGCGTGCAGCAGTCTGAGCAGCTCGATGTTCTTCGGAAATCCGTCCGCGCGTCCGTTAGCTGAGCGGGAGCGCACGGAGCATTCGGGGCACCGCACGATCAGCGATGTGCTACAGGCCGCGGCTGCAGGTGGCGCGGAAGTAGCGGGACCGGAAGCGGAGGGGAGAGCAGGGGCGGGGCTCGAAGGGGGAGCCAGGGCGTTGGCGGGGGGAGCGGAAGAAGTGGAAGCGGATGAGGGGAGCGTCCATGGCGCGGCGAGCGCGGCTATACACGTGGCGCAGAGAGAGTGGCCGCAAGAGGTGAGGACACGTGGGACGGCGGAGTCGTCGTCGAATTCCGACACGCACACGACGCATTCCGGCAGCAGCAGTGCCATGAGCGGTACGGTGGCCGTGGTTCGTCAGTCTCTTGGGTTGCGATCTGACATGTTGTACACCTAGTGGAGGTACTGGTTCGAAGGAGCTGTGGAATACATACGGTAGTTCACCATTTACAGAAATAACTAATTTGATTGAACATCGGACATTGGAATAAAAACGCAATGCAAAGTGACAAGCCTGTTTGGTAGTTATGCACAGTCTTGTAGTGTGGCTATGCCTAGCCAACGTTATTAGATGACACGAAGAAAGAGCTTTTACATCCGGACCGTGACAACGCCCGATCTCACGTCGGTCCACCTGGTGCGTGCAGCCTCCCCACCGCCCAAGATAGCATGAATCCGCTGAATCTGCACTCGCATGGCCTGAAAGCGAACCACATTCAATATCGGGTACATACAAACGGAAAGGGAAGATTGAGTTAGGAGGTACTTCATTCAGAGACGTCTCGGAACTCGGCTCCAAATCAGACAGAGGTTAGGGTTCGAGTGTTAGGAAACGCTCTCTGGTTACTTTTAGTCGTGGCATGGATAGCAATTAGGGTTTGAATGCGCAATTACCTGGCGAGGGTTTCGAGGACGCGTGCAGGCGCCGCACTTGAGCCCGGAATCGTCGAACACGTCGGTGCAGCGCGAGCAGAGCCCGGGGCAGCGCGGCTGCTCGCAGTGCGTCAGGCAGGCTATGCGACCGCACCCGCACTGCGACACATCCAGCCGTCGCACGAGCGACCGGATGGCGTCCACTTCCGCCAACGTGGCGCATTTGCAGCCGTCCATTCGGAAGCTCTGGATGCTCGATGAAGCTGGCGGAGAGGCATGCCGATAATAGGTACGGTTAGCTGCTGCTGCTGCTGCTGGAACAGAGGAGGTGGAGGCGGAGGGTTGCGACGGCGAAATCGCCTGGAGGAAGGCCAAGATGTCGCAGCCTTTTAGGTTGCAGCAATGGTCAACTGAAATCTCGGCTACGTTCGGAGCCAGAGCCTTCGTCTGCAAATTGAGGAGGATTGCGCAAAACGTAAGGATGACGTCAGAAATTGTTCCTTAATTGTTCCTTAGCTCAGATAAAAAAAAATTCCGATGGTTCACAAACGAATCGCCATGTGCTGTAGGGAGGAAAGCGAGCACATCATGGGAATTTATGTACTTACGCGAACGATGTTGATGAGCGACTTTCCGGTGATTCCGGAGCCAGAGAGCTGGAGCGAATTGACATTTCCCGCTCCCACGCGTCGCAGCATGACGCCGAGCTCGTAGTCCCAAACGCGGTGCGCCATCTTCCGAGGAACGTCAATGGACTGCCATAGAGTGGCGTCGCTCCCCGTGCGATACCACTCCTTGGAGACACAAAGACAGCGCGCACGCGAGGGCATATCCAGATGGGAGAAGATAGACAGCAGGATGTCTCGAGGAAGTTCCGAGGCTTTGCAGGACGTGTCGGGCTTCGTTGATTCAGTCGACATTTGGAGGTTGTTGCGGGAGAAAGAGTAGTAATCCATGACCACTTTTCTGCTATCGCAGGTAGGACTGACGAGAGTTTGTCCTAGTGCTGGACGTGAACACTGAATGCCGAGAGCTGGAAGGCTGAATGGAGAGCTGGAGCTGAGAGGCGTGGATGTTCTATGTGTGCAGCGTTGTACGTTTGGTGTGGGAGTTGCCAAACCCCTCATCAAATATACCACACAACGCAAGCACCAGCGGAAGATGGTGGAGTGGGGAGGGGAAGAGGTCAGGGAGGGGAGGGGAGGGGAGTCAGCAGCAGGGGTGAGGTGAGTGACGGGCAAGTTGGAAAACAGTTCACGCGGTTTTCATGAAGCGAAGGGAGAGACATTGCTGGGTTTCCGGGGCTGAGCAGATGAGTGCACATGATGTGAAACTGTAGCGGGGCAGCTCAAGGTGGGTGGGAAACAAAAAAGACAGCGAAACGCGGAATTGGATTCCTTGCAAGCATTGCTTGCAAGGGTTTCTGGATATGAACAGTGTTTGCAATGTAAATATCCAGACTGGCACATGTTACCCGAAAGATGTGACGACGTTGTAAAGAAGTTCGTCAACTGCCAAACCGTCTGCGAATTGGTACGCGAAATAATCGAGCCTGCCATGTCACCATCTGCACTGCCCCAGCGAGGATCCAAAAGGCATTGCTGGATCCGCAGTGTGCACTTTTCTGAGGACTTTTGGATCGAGTTGCTGTTTTCAAATCTCAAGTGCCTAGGCGAATCAAAAGCTGCATCATGTGTTGGCAGAACGAGCTTTCTCCAGTGGCCCAACAACTCCCACCCACCAGCTGCGCTGAACTGTGCTTGGTGTGCCCAGTCACATGACCACATCGCATCACATGCCAACACAGCATGTGCACCAGCACAGCATGTGCGAGCGACTTCCCTTTCTTCCAATCGGTGAAACCGAAAAGCGCCCTGACGTGAGGATAAGAATTTTCGACAATGGCAACCTCGGTTTCATTGTGGTCCACACGGATGCAGAGAAAAAAACTTACTCTTAGTTGGAAATTCGATGTAGCAATCTCTATGCATGGACGCATGGATGTAGTTTAGATGAGTTTATGAAGAACATGTTGTCCACTTGAGCCATTCAATGAACCTCAGATTTCATGCGTAGCCTCAGGTGTTCCTAAATGCTCTGGTTTGCGGCCCAAGCTCCTCATTTTTCTTAGGACATACCAAAACAATTTCATATTGTACTCCAGTATGGGAAGACCCCCTTTGTATTAGTACAAACTCCTCTCTACCTAATGGAGGCTGGTACATGGGGTGAAACAACGTTCACATGACCCCTTCCCACCTGGCTAAGGCTCAGCCTAAGTTGAGCAAATGGTTCAGCAGACACGGGCTTGGTCCCAGAAGCACTCAGTTCTGGGCCAGTACCACCAGTGCTATGTTGACGACTCAAGGCCTCAACAATTCCAGCCAGCCATTCTGGACTTCCGGCCACATGGCTGCCTGTCCGGGCTGTGATTGCTGCTGCAGCAGCTGCTGCAACCATGGCGTGTGCATGTGTGGAAGCGAAGATAGGAGTGACTGGGATGCCGGCCCTGGCTCCACCTGCAGGAGCAGCACCAGGTGCAATGCTGCCTCCCAGGGTAGAAGACTCCTGGCAGCTACTGCTTCGAATGCTGCTGCTTCTGCTAAAGACGTTGCCTTGCGTAAGCACATTGCTCTGCGAAGCACTAGTAATGTCTCGACAGCCGCTTTTCATCACAATCCGCTGCAGCTTCGGTGCATGCCAGGCAAGCCTGGCCACAGTCGCAGGGTCATAATCACACCCATTCAATACAAGCACCTCCAGACTAGATAATCTCTCCCCTTCCCCCGGCGGCCCCTGTCCTGCCGTTTTGGACTTATCTTCCAGTCTGCCGCCCACGAGCTCCAGGCTTCTGAGCGCGCCGCATTTCCGCAGCGCGAGGAGATCCGCGAGCTGCAGCGCGCCGCAGTGGAGGCGCACGGAGGCGAGGTGGCGCCATGCGATGGCCATTAAGCACGTCGTCTGCGTGGTCATGCTGCCGGGCAGCACGCACGAGAATTGCCGGATGCCGCGGAACGCGGTCGTTAGAAACCACATTAGTCGCGACTCTAGGAGGCCCGCCAACGCGGAGCCCGTGTTCGCGGAGGGAGGGGCGATGACGACGCCGGTTCCTGCGCCGTTTCCTGCCGCGGCGGCGGTGGAAGCGCGCGAGGAGAGAAGCTCTAATTTCGAAACGTTGCGGCAGTGGAGCGAGATGAGCCATAGGAGGTTGCAAATCGACGACTCCGCGCTCGCTCGCGCCGCGTTTCCGGGCCCTGGAGCAGCGGCTACCGCGGCGACGATCGAGTCGCAGTCCACGACCACGCGGCGGAGGGACGAAGCGCACGCGACGATGATGGGATTAAGTACGTGCAGCTCGCACCGCGGGTCATCGATAAAGAGATCGGTGAGGCTTCTGCAGCGTGGCGCGAGTTTCGCCATCCCGGGATGCATGCTACCAGGGCCGACACGAAGCTTCGACCAGAACGGCCGGCTGTAGCAGAGATTCTTCCACGTCGTGCTGACGCACGCCAGCCGGCAGAGATCCCACGCCGTCGGCCGCATCGCCTGGAAAATCTTCCGAAGGATGTCGTCGCCGAGATCTGAAAGCGACGGCGCAGATGCCGACACGTGGCAAACATCTGGAGAGCTACGAGCGGTTTCCACGGAATTTGACGTCGACGGATGGGAAAGCGGGAAAAACGGGGGTGGAAGTTGTTCAGCGGAGTTTGAGGTGCTCCATCCAGAGAGCGACTGCGACGTGGGCGACGTGAACGACGACCTGGTAACGTCGCACGACGGCGAGCAGTCGCTGGGAGGCTGAGCGACAACAGGCGACGCTTGGATCTGCTGTCCGAACAGTCGCAGCTTCTTGGAAGGTGGGAGGCGGAGCGAGGGGGCCTCGTGCGACGAGGCCTGCGCCGCCGTGCATTGCGGATCCTGGTGGGAGCTGCATGAAGACTGCGCCATAACGGGCGTTGTTTGATGATGTGAGTGCTAGGTTAGTCACTCGCGGAGCGAATAGTACAGCCTGTGCTAAGCCCAACGTGCTAAGCCCAACGTGCTAAGCCCAACGTGCTGAGCCCAACGTGCTAAGACCAACCGGAGGGAATGTTATACTTTGGAATGAAATGCAGCGACTCAAGTAGCTCGGAACGAATGTGATACTTCAGAAGCTCGGAACTCAGACGTGTGCTGCGGAGTGAGCTGGGATGTCGAGGGCGTTGGCCCTAGTACCTTGCCAACTTGGCTGAGAGATGTTCGCTCTGTCGAGCGAAGCTCGGAGTTGCGACTTGCGAATCTTTGACGGACGCGGGTCCTTCAATGATCGGCGACACGGTGTGAATAAGTGCGGAGCACCGAGCACAAACAGAGCACAGCACTGCAGCGGAGCTCTGTACAGATAGAGCTGGTGCTGGAGGTTCTGTTCTGTTGTGTTCTTTCTGTCTAAAAAATTCTTATCTCGGGGAAAGCGGCATGTGGGATGGGATGGGGATAACGCGCTCGCGAGAGCTGTTCCACAGAATCACATGGGCCAAGGGCCAAATCGGAGGGCCACGCGCCACAGCCATTTCGCCGATTCGTTCGCATACAGTACCTGTGTCCTTTTGGTTTGTCGCGCGCTGTGCATCTCGCGTGCCCCTTGGCGAGATCGCATACGGTGCGTTACAGTCGTGGGCCCTTTCTCTCACTCGCAAACTGTGCAGATATGGCCTTTCGCCCTTCCTCGGTAAATCTCGCACAGCTCGTCCGTCCATTCGCGCACTGCTCATAATTCATTTACGCTTTCGCACACTGTTGAAATCATACCTCGCATCATCCCCTACGCCGCCGCCTCTCGCTCGCAAGCGATGTAAATCTCGCGTCGCCCGGAGGAGCTGCCTTTTCGTCAACCCCCAGAAGGTCAATGTCGCAGCAACGCGTGAAAGGGGAGCAAACGCGGCAAAACTGTCCCTCCCATCCCATCCCAAGAAGCGATTTCCTGCCTTCCAGTCAGACGCGGACAGAACAGAACCTTTGCCTTGGCGTTTTGCCCCTGCATTGCATTGCATGCACGCCTCCGCAAAAGTCCAAGGTTGACTTGTGCAGCGGAAGCGTGGATCAAACCCGGAATTGTTGATAACGCGGTTTTGGAGTTGCACACGACTGGACCCTTGCAGCATTGACGTGCACTGTATCTACACTTACAAGTATTGGACTCCAAAACCAAGGAGTTTACATTCGCATCTACAATTAAGACCTTAATTGATACTCAAATAAAAAAAGGTCCATACTGAAGATACCAACGCCATGACGACATTTCTGCACATTATATCACATCACACTTCGCATCGAATAGCATATGATATAATACAAACACCTTGCACCATCGCTGAAGACAAACTCATGCTCAAACCCCAATGATGCTTCCTTTCCTCCCGAGTTCGCACCCCTGCGAGCTACTTTCACGCACACCTACTTGCTTCTGTCAATATGCTACAATAGGCTGCTTTCCCCTCGCCCTGTCATCTACCCGTCAGTCATTACAGCAGCCCAGCAGGCATGTCACAAGTCGCATCGCACGACTCAAGTCAAGACACCATGGGTTCTGGTTGTTGCTGCTGCTGTTGCTGCTGCTGCTGCTGCTGCTGCTGCTGCCGTGCCGCTTCCACCAGGTCTCTCAGCAGCTTGCCGCTGGTCCAGCTACCCCCCAGGCTTTTCCGCCCGATACCACCGTTGCCAGCCCTCATCATTGTCACGAATTCGTTGTAGTCAATCTGCCCATCCTGCTCCAAGAAGAGAAGCAGAAGGAACGCGAAGCAAAGGGGATGACGATCCCAAGCATGAGCGCCGATGCAACCTCACTGGAAGGTGCTGAGCAGGCTCTATCCAATCAGAAGCATAGAGTGTTAGTGCTTACTTACAGTGTTAGTGCTTACTTACAGTGTTGGTGCTTCAATGTTAGTGCTTACTTACAGTGTTTGTGCTTACTTAGAGTGTTGGTGCTTCAATGTTAGTGCTTACTTACAGTGTTTGTGCTTGTTGGTGCTTACAGTGTTAGTGCTTATTGTGCTCGTGCTTACAGTGTTAGTGCTTATTGTGCGAGTGCTTACAGTGTTAGTGCTTATTGTGCGGGTGCTTACAGTGTTAGTGCTTATATTGTAAGAGCTTACAGTGTTAGAGCTTATAGTCCCACTGCTTACAGAGCTAGTGCTTACATTGTTAGTGTCGACGTCTCGCATTGTTTCCACGATACAGTCCTCATCGATGCTGTACTCCCTGCAAGCATGCTGCAGCTCGTCCACTGTAATGAATCCCGAGCTGTCCTTGTCGAAATGCGAGAAGGCGGCAAACAGCGTCTCTTCGCGCTCTATCTTGTTCAGATGCATCGTGGCCGCTAAGAACTCCCCATAGTCTATCATGCCGTTGCCGTCGAAGTCAGCCTGGAGGAAGGGGGGGGGGTGGGGAAGAGGAGCGGGGGACAATGTTAAGGGCCCAAACGACGGAAGGAAAATGGAAGAGATACAGGTCTTGTCGTCCATCCAGACTGGTGATTCTCACCACTGAGCCCAGCCCCCTCTCAATATTGCATCTGACCCCTGACACTCCTCTCTTTCTGCCTTCACCCTCTCCTCAATGCACCCCACTTTACCCTTCCTTTGTCGTCGCTGTCCACCCTGCCCATGGTTGGTTGGACCCCCTTCGTCCATTACAGTCTTCACACGCTCCCCCTTCCCTCTCCCCCCCCCCTCCCCCCCCCCCTCCCTCCTCCACCTTCCATGCTCGGCGTCAGCTGTCGCCCCTCGCTGTCCTGCACGTTTCACCTTGTGCCTACCCACTGCTCTGCACCACAGGCCCCATCCCCACGCGTGAGGAGTCTATTTTTGAGGCGCCTCAAAAATAGACCCCTCGCTGTCCTGCACGTTGCACCTTGTACCTACCCACTGCTCTGCACCACAGGCCCCTTTATCCCCACCGCCATTTCCACTGTGTCCATCAGCTCCTGCACTTCGCTGTGCTGCATGTTGGATCCGATGCGCTGCAGCCCACTTCTTACCACGCCCCTCTTCATGCCGCCTTCACCATGCCGCCATCCCCATGTACCCCACTCACCGCGCCCATCAGCTCCTGCACTTCGCTGTGCTGCATGTTGGATCCGATGCGCTGCAGCCCACTTCTTACCACGCCCCTCTTCATGCCGCCTTCACCATGCCGCCATCCCCATGTACCCCACTCACCGCGCCCATCAGCTCCTGCACTTCGCTGTGCTGCATGTTGGATCCGATGCGCTGCAGCCCACTTCTTACCACGCCCCTCTTCATGCCGCCTTCACCATGCCGCCATCCCCATGTACCCCACTCACCGCGCCCATCAGCTCCTGCACTTCGCTGTGCTGCATGTTGGATCCGATGCGCTGCAGCCCACTTCTTACCACGCCCCTCTTCATGCCGCCTTCACCATGCCGCCATCCCCATGTACCCCACTCACCGCGCCCATCAGCTCCTGCACTTCGCTGTGCTGCATGTTGGATCCGATGCGCTGCAGCCCACTTCTTACCACGCCCCTCTTCATGCCGCCTTCACCATGCCGCCATCCCCATGTACCCCACTCACCGCGCCCATCAGCTCCTGCACTTCGCTGTGCTGCATGTTGGATCCGATGCGCTGCAGCCCACTTCTTACCACGCCCCTCTTCATGCCGCCTTCACCATGCCGCCATCCCCATGTACCCCACTCACCGCGCCCATCAGCTCCTGCACTTCGCTGTGCTGCATGTTGGATCCGATGCGCTGCAGCCCACTTCTTACCACGCCCCTCTTCATGCCGCCTTCACCATGCCGCCATCCCCATGTACCCCACTCACCGCGCCCATCAGCTCCTGCACTTCGCTGTGCTGCATGTTGGATCCGATGCGCTGCCGCCTTGTCCCCCATGGCCCCATTCCCATGCCCCTTTGTCCCATACGCCCCACTCACCGCATCCATCAGCTCCTGCACCTCGCTATCCTGCATGTTCGATCCGATGCGCTGCAGTCCATATCCCCAGTCCCTCTCATAGCACCTTATAGCACCCCATAGCGCCCCTTCTTACCGCGTCCATCAGCTCCTGCACCTCGCTGTCCTGCATGTTCGATCCGATGCGCTGCAGCCCTGCCTTGAGCTCCTCAAAGGTGATGGTGCCGCTCCTGTCCGTGTCCATCATCTCAAACGTCTGCTTCAGACCCGAGATCTCCTCTTCTGACAACGATTCTGCGATTACCTGTGAACGGGAGCAGGTGAACACGAGTGGGAGAGGGGGGGTGGGGGGAGAGAACGGGGCTAACTGAATGTGATGGCGCCGCTCCTGTCCGTGTCCATCATCTCAAACGTCTGCTTCAGCCCCGAAATCTCTAAGTCAGACAGGGATTCCGCTATCACCTGTGGCAAGGCAAGCACATGCATGAAAGGGGAGGAAGCGTGGGGCCCTTTGATTGTGGTCGTGCCGCTCCTGTCCGTGTCCATCATCTCAAACGTCTGCTTCAGCCCTGAGCTGATATTGACTCGGCTATAACCTGTAGTTGAGTTAAGTGCAAGTGGGCATGTGCAAGAGAGGGGAGAAAGATGCTCTTTTCAATTGAGATCGTGCCGCTCCTGTCCGCGGTCCATCATGTTAAACGTCTGCTTCACACCCGAGATCCCCTCCTCCGAGAGTGATACGCTATCACCTGTAATTGCGAGTGCAAGTGGGCATGTGCAGGAGAGGGGAAAGAAAGAGGGGCTCTTCGAATGAGATCGTGCCGCTCCTGTCCGTGTCTATCATGTCAAGCGTCTGCTTCAGGCCCGAGATCTGCTCTTCTGCGATCACCTGTGATTGTGGGTGCAAGTGGGCATGCGCACAGGAGGGGAGCCAGAGTGGACCATGTTGACTGTGATGGTGCTGCTCCTGTCCACGGTCCATCCATCATCTCAAACGTTCTGCTTCGGGCCGGAGATCTGCTCTTAAGACAGGGATTCCGCTATCACATGGGAGCGAGTGCAAATTAGGGTGAGGCGGAGAGGCGGGATGCTGGACTGGTCCTGCCGCTCCTGTCCGTGGTCCATCATCTCAATCAAACGTCTGCTTGAGGCCCAACATCTCTTCTTCAGACAGAGATTCTGCGATCACCTGTGGTTGTGAGCGTGCAAGTGGTCAAGTTGGCAAGTTCTGCGGTCCACCTGCTCTCCCCCCACATCCACCTGCGCTCACCCAGACAGCCATCTTTTTGAAATTGTTTAAGGCTGAGAATTGCTTGAGGCGATACAAAGCTCCTTTGATCCACCCAGCACCTCTAACGCACCCACCCTGAGAGCCATCTGCACTCACCCTGAGCGCCATCTTCACTCACCCTGAGCGCCATCTTCACCCACCCTGAGCGCCATCTTCACTCACCCTGAGCGCCATCTTCACTCACCCTGAGCGCCATCTTCACTCACCCTGAGCGCCATCTTCACTCACCCTGAGCGCCATCTTCACTCACCCTGAGCGCCATCTTCACTCACCCTGAGCGCCATCTTCACTCACCCTGAGCGCCATCTTCACTCACCCTGAGCGCCATCTTCACTCACCCTGAGCGCCATCTTCACTCACCCTGAGCGCCATCTTCACTCACCCTGAGCGCCATCTTCACTCACCCTGAGCGCCATCTTCACTCACCCTGAGCGCCATCTTCACTCACCCTGAGCGCCATCTTCACTCACCCTGAGCGCCATCTTCACTCACCCTGAGCGCCATCTTCACTCACCCTGAGCGCCATCTTCACTCACCCTGAGCGCCATCTTCACTCACCCTGAGCGCCATCTTCACTCACCCTGAGCGCCATCTTCACTCACCCTGAGCGCCATCTTCACTCACCCTGAGCGCCATCTTCACTCACCCTGAGCGCCATCTTCACTCACTCTGAGCGCCATCTTCTTGAGCTTGTTCATTGCCGAGAATTGCTTGAGGCGAGATAGGACACCCGCGTCCAGAGGCCGGTCAGGGGCCACTCCGTCCTGGGCAACCCACGGGTGGCCTGATTAGTGGAGAGGGGCAGGATGGGGGGTGGGTGAGAGAGCGGAATCGAACTGCGAAGACAGCAGCGTCCAGAGGGCAGTCAGGGGCCACTCCGTCCTGTGGCAACCACGGGTGGCCTGGTGGAAGTCAATGGATGGAGGGAGGCGGAGCGGGGTGAGAGAGCGAAAGCAAGCATCCAAGTCTCCCACGTCCAGAGGCCGGTCAGGTGTTTGAGAACTCTCAAAATCCTCTCCGTCGTGCGCAACCCATGTGTGGCCTGGGTTGGGAGAGAGGAGAAGGGAATGGGAAGCGGCGGAGTGAGGGAACGATAGGCAGTGGCGGCAGTGGTGGCAGTGGCGGTGGTGGTGGTGGCAGTGGCGGCGGTGGTGGTGGTGGTGGTGGGAGTGGCGGCTGTGGTGGTGGTGGTGGTGGCAGTGGCGGCGGCGGTGGTGGTGGTGGTGGCAGTGGCGGTGGTAGTGGCCAGGACAGGACACTGCACCACCCTGCACCTGCACCGTCTAAGGCTGGCCTAGGTGGAGGGGTCGAGGTCAGGCAGCACACGCGGCGGCGGATGAGATCTCCTTGGCGTCAGCGGAGGGGTAGCACAGCTTGCAACACAGCTCACGCTCACTCACAGCACTTGTTAAACAGTACGTCTCAGGGTGGGGTCGAGGCAGCACATGCGGCGCGGCGGATGAGGTCCTTGGCGTCGCTGGAGACGGACGGTCATGGCTGCGTGCGTGTGCGCTAAGGCAGATTCCGCAGCATTTGCTAGAGCGAGAGGTCGAAAGAGCAGCAGCAGCAGGCTACTCTCACAGCACTTGGTGGGTGGTGAGACGGCGGGCAGAAACTAGGCAGCAGCTCACAGACACAACCCATAATAGACTAAGAGAACGAAACATAAGCAGCAGCAGCAGCAGCAGCAGCAGCAGGTGACTCACAGAGCACTTGGTGGGCGGTCAGTCGGCGGGGGGGGTCGAGGCAGCAAGTGCGGCAGATGAGGCCTCCTTGGCGTCGCTGGAGATGGACGGCCATGGCTGAAAGAGCCAAGGCACCTTGCACCTCACTTCGCAGAGAGAGAGAGGACAAAGCAGCAGCAGCAGGTCACTTCACTCACAGAGCACTTGGTAGGCGGTGAGGCGGCGGGCGGGGTCGAGGCAGCACATGCGGCGGATGAGGTCCTTGGCGTCCGTGGAGATGGAAGGCCACGGCTGCTTGGTGAAGTCCAAGTGGCCCCGCAGCACCGCCTCAAAGATGCCCTGCTCCGTCTCTGATGGCAGGGAGAGCGGAGGGGGAGGGGGGAGTGATGGGAAGAAGGGACTGGCATTGAGGTTTCTCAATGATGAGCGCCCAGGGCTGGGGCGAAGTCCAGGTGGCCCTGCAGCACCGTCGTCTCGAAGATGCCCTGCTCAGTCTCTGGAAAGGAGGAGGGGGGGAGGAGGGGAGTAAGGAGTCACAGAATGGTCGCTGTGTAACATTGGACATGGGCGGCCATGGCTGCTTCGTGAAGCCCAGGTGGCCTCGTAGCACCGCTTCGAAGATGCCCTTCTCTGTGTTGCAGCATGCGATGACGTGGATGTGATGGTAGAGCTTGTGCTTGTATCCATATGTTGCATGGCTAGTGGCATAGAGAGACCCCATGCGTCCCACCCACCCACCCACCTGCCCAGAAGGGCGGCACGCCCAAGAGCAGCATGTAGAGGATCACGCCCATGCTCCAGATGTCCGCCTCCTTGCTGTAGCACGTGGTGGTGTGTGTGGGTGTGTTATCATGCATGGCTAGTGACCTAGAACCACCCCATGCGTCCTCTCCCTCACCTGCCCAGAACGGCGGCACGCCCGAGAGCAGGATATAGAGGATGACCCCCATGCTCCAGATGTCCGCCTCCTTGCTGTAGCGCCGTCGCAGCACCTCCGGCGCCACGTAGTAGGGGCTGCCCACCACGTCCGATAGGGGCTCGCCTGGGGGGGAGAGGAGGAGGGAGAGGGGGACGGGTAAAGCAGTTGAGTCAAGAAGCACCTCTGGCGCCACATGGTAGGGGCTGCCCACCACGTCCGATAGGGGCTCGCCTGGGAGGCGAGGGGAGGAGGGGGGACGGGGGGGGGGAATGGGACGGGAGTGAGAGGGGGCTCCTTGCTGTAGCGCCATCTCGAGACTTCCGGTGCAACATAGTAGGAGCTGCCCACCACGTCCGATAGGGGCTCGCCTGGGACGAAATGAGATGACGGGAATGTGGGGGGTGACGAGCGGGAGCCTGGAGGGTAGGTGGCTTTTTTAGGCGCCTAAAAAATCGACGAAATGAGATGACGGGGATGTGGGAGGTGACGAGCGGGAGGGTGGGTGGGGGGCAGGGAGGAAACATGAGTGAGGGAGGGAGGTGCGGAAGGAGGGGGGGAGAGATGGAGGGAGGGAGGAGGGAGGGAGGGAGGACCGGAGGGACGGAGGGATGTATGTGCGTGGAAAGTTGGCAAATATTGTTTGAACCCTTGTTTCATGGATTTTACGAGAATTACACCCCTATCAGCTCTGGTAGCATCAAGTTGTCAATCCCAGTGGTCATAGTGCCTTCCCCACCACACCAACGGCACTCGGCCGGCCCCACCACCGACAGTACAAAACCAGATCGCTGCCAGATTGATGCCAGATTGATGCCGTCAATGGTACATAGCGCGTGAATAAAAAGGTCTGATAGTGGTTTCGTTTTGAGCCGACTCCAGACGAAGCTACTATCGCCATGATGCCATCAAAGACACACAGAACGTGCATAGATGGGTTTCCCCACCACAAGCAGCACTCAGCCCCCCACCACTACCAGCAAAACCACAAGCAGCACTCAGCCCCCCGCCACTACAAGCAGCACTCAGCCCCCCACCACTACCAGCAACACCACAAGCAGCACTCAGCCCCCCACCACTACCAGCAACACCACAAGCAGCACTCAGCCCCCCGCCACTACAAGCAGCACTCAGCCCCCCACCACTACCAGCAACACCACAAGCAGCACTCAGCCCCCCACCACTACCAGCAACACCACAAGCAGCACTCAGCCCCCCACCACTACCAGCAACACCACAAGCAGCGCTCAGCCCCCCACCACTACCAGCAACACCACAAGCAGCACTCAGGCCCCCACCACTACCAGCAGCACCACAAGCAGCGATCAACCCCCCACCACTACCAGCAACAACACAAGCAGCGCTCAGCCCCCCACCGCTACCAGCAACACCACAAGCAGCACTCAGGCCCCCACCACTACCAGCAACACCACAAGCAGCGCTTAGCCCCCCACCGCTACCAGCAACACCACAAGCAGCACTCAGCCCCGACCCACCAGCGACAGCACAATAGCAGTCAGAACCCCCCCACCACACCAGCAACAGCACAACAGCAAACCAGCACAACAGCACTCAGAACCCACCTTGCTTGAAGAAGGTGGAGAGGCCGAAGTCCGTGGCCTTGATGTCTTTCGACTGCACCGCACTGCACCAAACCACAACGCACTCAGACCCACCTGGTTTGAAGAAGGTGGAGAGGCCGAAGTCTGTGGCCTTTAGGTCGGCATTCTCCGTCCGGTCTGCCAGCAGGAAGTTTTCGGGCTTTAAGTCGCGGTGCACCACGCCAAGCGAGTGGCACGCCTCCACTATTCGCGCTATAGTGCGAATGGACGTAGCAGCCTGACGCTCGCTGGTGGGAGTAATGTGCCCAAAGGGGGGATGGGAGCGGGGGCAGAGAGAGGGGGGGGGAGAGGGGAGGAGAGAAAAAGGGGAGAGGGGGGAGGAAGGGGGGGGGGGGAAGAGGGGGGAGGGAAAGGAATTATTTTGACGGCTCCTTAGTTTCGTCATGCAATAAATAAGTAGACCACCAATTCTACTCTCAGCGCCAGCTGGGCTACTACTGAACTGAACCACGTACGCTTCCTCGAATCATCACCTGATACACCACCGTACGCTTCGTACGTACGTACGTACGCACCTGAAATACCCTCGTTTGATGATCCGGTCAAAAAGTTCCCCTCCCGAGCAGAGCTCCATGACGATGTGAACCGCGTACGCGTCTTCGTACGCCCCTTTAATGCACACGATGTTCTTGTGACCCGCCAGGTGGTGCATGATCGCGACTTCGCGCTTCACGTCCGCCACGTCCTCCGCGGAGATTAATTTCTTCTTCGCGATCGTCTTGCACGCGTACTCCTTGCCCGTCGCGAGCTCCGTGCATAAATAGGTGACTCCGAACTGCCCCTGACCTAATTTTCCGCCGATCTTGTAAAGCGATTCGAGCTTCTCTGAAATGGAATTGGGAGGGAGGGAGGGAGGAGACGAATTTTAGTCGACTCAGAAGTCGTCTTGCACGCGTACGGTTGCCCGTCGCGAGCTCCGTGCATAAATATGTCACGCCGAATTGGCCCTGACCTAATTTCCCGCCGATCTTGTAGAGAGACTCGAGTTTCTCTAAAATGGGATCAGGAGGGTAGGTTGAAATGCGAAACGTAGCAGCGGAGAGTGAGAAGAGTGAGGGGATAGGAGGGACGTAGGAGGATGGGGTGCGATCGAAAGTGGGTGCGATCGAAAGTGGGTGCGATCGAAAACAGGAACGATCGTCAGTTGAACGAATGTGCGGTAAGAGGGTGGAGGAGAACGCTCTTTGAGACGTCCCACAACACTTATATACCGCGGAGGACGTTCACCTGTTGGTCGTCCGAGCACGGACGCGGTGAGCACGCGGCCGGGCGATACGAACTGGTCGAACCACACGCGCCTGGCGGAGAGCGACTGCGGCATGGCGGACGCCATGGCGGCCGACAATGGCGGAGTGATCTAATGGCGTGATAAATAGCCGCGGACGGAACAGCGCAGTTTAAGGCGCCTCGCACCCAACGGCGGACAGAGTGCAGGCGAGAACTACCAGCTGCAGGCACAGCCGCACAGGGCTCCGAGCTTGGAAACCCGAGCCTGAAAATCCGAACCTGAAAGCACCTCCGAACCAGCGAGAACGTTTCGCCGCTCACTGATTCCGCACGCACAGTGCTAGTAAGGTTAGGCTACGGAGGGTCACAGGACATCCCCCTAGTGGTGCGGCGAATTTATGAGTAAACCTAAGCAAACCGTCAGTCGGACAACTCAGTGAGGACGGTCAAGCAACCGAGGTCAGAGACAACAATTAGGCCGGCAAGCAATTTATTCGGCTCAAATGAGACTGTCTGCAGTGACTCAACCAGTGGTTGCTGTTTAGCTGATCCAGCAAGAGCGGGAAACGGTGAAGCTTGAATAACTAGAGTGAGGAATCATGAGTGCAGTGATGAGTGCAAGTGCAGTGCAGGCAAGAGCAGCTCTGCTGCAGCTTTGTCGCTTGGCAATCCCAAGGGAAGCTCAACGGAAGCCCCAAGGGCAGGAGGGAGGTTCAAGGGACGAAACGAGTGGGGCCGGCCTGTGCGATATTCGCCGTTCGTGCCGAGTGATCTAACGGCTTCGTCGCTGCCCTCGTGCGCGGCAATTTTGCCCTCGCCGTAACGCCCAGCTCCTGCTTGTACCGAGGACGTCACGCTGCCCTTTGACCAAGCGCCACAAGAGCGTTCAAGGGAAAACGTTTATTTCGTGGTTTTGTGGGTTCAGTGAGATAAAATGAGGTAGAGCAACACGGATGTTACTAGCTCAGAGCCCCCCATAAAGCACAATATACAATATGCTATACAACTACAACAGCATCGATGAGTACAGCTTGTTGTACCCCTCCACTAGAATCGTGGCCCCTAAGTCCCTTAGTACTGCCACGCATTTCTGCCAAATTTGCCCACCCTTGACGTATACGCCTCCATGGCATAACTGTCGGGATCTAAACACAACACTTCAGATCCCGCCCGCTGAAGAACATAAAATCCTGAACTGCTGCTCCGGTCAAGGCCACGGGTGTACCCACTAGGTGTGGCAGCACCAGGACGAGCCGGAACACCCCCCCATTCATCCTCCTCACCCTCATCAGCACGACGACCAGTCCTTTCATCGTCATAATGCGACAGTTGTGGGGCCATGCTCATGCTCATGTGTCTATGAAGGCCCATCTTGACCATACCTGTGTGTTTTCCACGGTGATCCAGTCCAGCGCCCATGCCCACAGCAGATCCCATGTTCACAGAACCCCCCATGCCCATTGGAGCACCCATGCCCATTGGAGCACCCATGCCCATTGGAGCACCCATGCCCATTGGAGCACCCTTGTGAATCCCTCTCGCCAAACCCATGGGAGGCCCTCCAGAAGAGTATGGCCGCTGCATTATGCTGACATCATGCAGCCTCATGCTGACACCAGCACCACTCCGCCATCCAGGTTCCGTACCTTCGACCCACACTCCATCCACATCAGCATACAGCCCTTGGTCGAAGCCATCCATGTCATCACCACGACCGGACCAGTAGGGATCATCCACGTCAGAAGCCATGTTCATGCTGCCACACCGCCTCATCATACCCATCCCTGTCATGTGCGGATGACGCATGTTCCCCATCCTTCCTGCATCCCCTCTTCCTCCCATGCCTCCCATGCCTCCCATGCCTCCCATGACTCCAGAAGCATTCGTGCCATGCCTCACCACCACCATACCCATGTTCCCCCCTGAAGTCACTGGTCGTATCACACTCCCACCTCCAATACCTCCTTGCTCTCGCCATCCTCCTCTTCCTCCTCTTTCTCCCCATCCTCGTACCACCCCTACACCTCCTCTCCCTGCTCCTCCACCTCCCCTCTGTGCGTCTTCTGCTGCCACCCGGCCAGCAACCCTGCCCATCCCCTCTATAGACTCCCCCGCCATGCTCATACTGGCTGTGCGGAGCGGCGCTGGCCGCACATGGGGGAGAAGAGGCACTTGTGGGACGTGCTCCAGAGACATCCCAGCCGTTAATTCTTGGGCGTGAGATGCAACGCTGCTGTACGAGCGGCCCAGATGTGCCTGGGCAGCCAGAAGCATGTGTGCGCTTGCCTTGGTATTGTGTGTGCTTGTGCTCTGCACGCCTGTGGCATGCCTGTGGCAGGGTACCGGGCGGGGACCTGACATAGCGTCGGGCAGCAGCTGGGGTCCTAATGGCGACAAGGAACGCCGCCCACCGTTTCTTGCATCACCACCAGTGAGACCACCGTGGTTCACGTTCTCTCGTCCCCTACTCTCCGCGCCACTTGCACCTGCCGTCCTATTCAAGCCACCACCATCCCCACCAAGATCCTTGACTTGGAGTCCTCCCCTCTCCCCAGCCACACCCCCCATGGCCACCCCCTGCGGCCGCCTTGCACTGAGCTCCTGCAGGAAGCTGCGGGCTGCACTGGGCTGGCGAACAATCGGGGTAACGGGGCGTGACAGGGTGATGGGGCGTGAGGGATGGTTGTGGAGGGACGGGGTGATGGGGCGTGAGGGATGGTTGAGGAGGGACGGGGTGATGGGGCGTGAAGGAGGGGCCAGGTGTGGCGGGGTGGAGGGGGGAGTTGAGTTGATGCGCTGAGGTGAGGGATCAGGAGCTGTGGAAGCAAGGGTGGTGGTAGGTGCGGGGGTTGTAGGCCGTGCAGAATCCACAGGGGTTGCTGGAGGACCCATACTCGTTACAGGCAGACTCTCTTTCGTCAATGGAGCAAGAAGCTGCCCCATTACACGTTCCTGGCCCGTGCTTCGTCCCTCCATTCCCTCACTGCGTTCTCTGCTTTCTGCTCTGGTTGCTTCTTCCCTCTCTCCTTCTCCCTCCCCTCCTCCCTCCTCTCCTTCCTCTACTTCTCCCTCCTCCACTTCCCCGTCCTCTCCTCCCTCACTTCTGCTCTCTTCTCCTTCCTCCTCTTCAGAATCCTCTCCTGCTCCATCGCTCCCCCCTCTCATCTCTTCTCCAACCACACACTCCTCCCCACTCACTTCTCCACACTCCTCCCCACATTCATCCCCACACTCCTCCCCACACTCATCATTATGCAAGTGCAAGACCATGCTACCAGCAGGGCTGTAAGTGCCGTCACCGCCATCACTGTCACCGCCACCATCACTGCCACCGCTTTCACTCCTCTCGCTGCTCTCACTGCTGCTCCCAGGTGACCTGCCTCCATACCCTTGGGGACTGCTCATGTACCCAAAGCAGCTGGGCGCCGGGCCTGCCAAGCAGCCTCGGCCAGGCGACGAGCTTCGGCCAGGTGACGAGCCTGGGCTGCAGGCTCGGAAGAACAGGCTTGGGAGGTCCAAGGCTCGGAGGCGAGGGATGGGGCTGCTGTTGCGGGAGCGAGTGGGGGAGTGAGCGGGAGAGAGTGTGGGGGAGCATCCCGGGGAGATGGATGAGGAGGGAGGGAAGAGAGGGGATGGGGTCCGGGGGCGCGAGAGAGAGGAGGACGTGGGGAAGCGACGGGAGGGAGAGCGAGAAGGAGAGAGGGAAGGAGAAAGGGTGCGGAGAGAGGGAGAGCCCAGAGGACTCTTCAAGTTGTTTCTCTGGCTGCTGGCGCGGCCAGTGCTGTAGCTGGCAGGGCGAGCAGGGGAGGAGAGGGGGCTTGGATTGCGGGGGAAGGCACAGCTGGTGAGAGCAGCCAGGGCACCAGCACTGGCGTGCCTGGGGTGGTCGAATCTCCCAGCACGGTTGCTGCTGGGGCTGCCACAGAGGCTGCTGCTGCCACCACCATCACCATCATTACCACCACCAGCAGCAGAAGCGGCGCTGTGGTGAAACTCACTGACAGTACGCCTGTGCCTGGCAGAAGTATTCGTCTTGTAGCTGCCGCTAGGAATGTGCGGCTGTGGCTGGGAATGCAAACCGATGCTGCTCATGCTCCTCCCTTTTTTCCTCCTCGACATGTTACCGCTGCTGCTGCTGCCAGCAACCCCTGCAGCAGAAGAGGAGTGGCTGGATGATGCGGAGGATGAGCTCTGCCTTCTCTGGACCACTCTGCTTGCTGAGCTGGCCGCACACACAGCGGCGGCGGCAGCAGCCGAGGCTGCAGACAGCAAGAACCCAGGCAGCGCGGCAGGGGAGAAGTCTGAAGCACCACCCACGTCATCACCAGAAGCAGTGCTGTTGCTGCTGCCATACTTGCTTCGGAGGGCCACCAGGCTCCTGCTGCGGCCGTGCCTCCCTATACCTCCTTTCCTCCCTCCATCCACCCCTCCCTTGCCTTTCCCCTCCTTCCCTTCTCCCCCATCTCCCCCCTCCTCGTCCCTCACGTCCCCCCGCGCCTCTTCATACCCCACCCCCTCACAGAAGTGAGGATGAGAGGGCGCGTTTGAGTGAGCGAGCGAGGGAGTGTGCAAGTGATTGGCAGAGGGAGTGTGCGAGTGAGTGGCAGAGGGAGTGAGAGGGTGAGTGAGTGAGGGAGTGCATGAGTGCGACCGTTCAACAGTGCTGTGGCTCCTCCAGTGCACTGACCGCCTACCACCACCACCGCCACCACCACCTGGGGGGGGTTGTAGAGGCCCGCTGCGTGCCTTTTGCTGCACCTGCTGTGGCTCCCTTGTCCCCTGCTGTTTCTGCTGCTGCTGCTGCTGCTGCTGCTGCTGCTGCTGCTGCGTCTGGTGATGCTGCTGTAGCTGTAGCTGCGGCCGTGGCTGCTGCTGCTGCTGCTGCTGCTCATTGCATTCATCAAGCTCGCCCCCTATGGAATCCCCGTGCTCGTTTAAGGGGCTTGAAGATGCGTCCTCTGCCACTCTACGCTCCCAGCTACATACAGCGCCTGCTGCTGCTGCTCCCGCAATGCTCCACCCGCGTCGATGCTGCCTGAGGTGCCGCTCACCTGAACCTGAACCTGAACCTGAACCTGAACTCGAACTCGAACCTGAATTGGGACCCAAGCTGGTGACTGACGCGTTTGCAGACAGAGACACGGATTTAGGCAGCACAACAACGCGGCTCCTTGCTGGTTTGCTCTGTGTGTCGCCCCACGTCACTGACTTGGGCACATCGCTGCCAACTCTTCTCCTCGGACCCATACTCCTTCCACCCCTGCTCGGTCCCCCCCTCCACACTGCAACGCTCTCTGCTCCTCAGCGTCTCTCTGCTCCTCGCCACGCTCCTTAGTATCACTCAGCTCGTCGCTTTCACTGAAGGGGATAGAGCGTGAAACAGCACAGCTGGCTCTGCTTAGATCGCTGCGGCCGGCACCACTGCCACTGGCGCCCTTCCTCTCAGTGGGCCAGCACAGGCCCTTGCTCCCAGGCACGGGAGTGTCTGGAGTCAGCGGCGCCACTGCTGCTGCTGGTGCTGGTGGTGCTGCGGCTTCCACTCGTGCTGCTGGGTCCATTGGCGCTGCTGATGTTGGTCCACGCAGCCCGTTCAACATGCCCCGTGCGGCCGTACTGCTACCATCGGGCCCTCCTTCCCCCGCCGCACCTCCATCGCCCCTGTCAAGACCGGACCTCGTTTCAACGCTCAGCTTTCGCCGCCACACCTGCTGCTGCTGCTGCTGCTGCTGCTCCAGGCGACGGGAGGGGCGCTCGGAGAAGCTTGAAGCGGCAGGGAAGGCTGCTGCTGCCACCGCCACACTCGCTGCCGCGGCAGCAGCAGATGCGCCGAGAAAAAGTGGACCGCTTTTCCCCCTTCCCCCTCTTCGCCTACCGCCCTTCCGCCGGCCACCACAGTTTCTCCCGCCCTCCCGCCCATGTTTCTGCTGCTGCGCAGCCCCCGCACATTCCCTTACCGCTGCATTACCCTCTTCCCCTCGCTCCTCCCCCTTCCCCCCCTCCTCTTCCTCGCCGCTGCTCCCCACGTGTCAGCCACCAATTGACTCCCGAAAACCGGCATCGCCTCTACTGTTCGCCTGCGCGTTAAAGCGGTATCCCTCCCCCCGTTTCCCGCCGCATTTCCCGTCCTGACTTCCCCTGTACTATCCGCTGTTGTAGCGATTGCGATAGTATCCGCCGCTCGTTCGCTGAAGGAACCCCAGCCGGGCGCGTAGGTCTCCGCAAAAATGCGGGTGGCAGGGGCATTGGCGCGCAAAGGGGGAGCGGAGGACTTGCGGAGCAGCGTTGGCTGCGCGCCTGCAGTAGGGGGAAACGCAAGGCCCGCAGGGGAAAATGCGGGATTTTCCGCCTCCGCGGAGGCTTCGGGATGCGCGGAGGGTGCACCGTGGGGAGCGGAGGAGCGGTGGAGGAATCGGCGGGCGGAAGGAGCGGAAGGAGCGGAAGGATATAGGAACGTAGGACCGGAGCTCGACTTTGGAAGGACGCTCTTATTGCTACGGGCATGGAGGGAGTCTCCCTGGTGCGAACTAGACAGTGGGAAAGGCTGCGTAAAAGGGCGAGCGGGGACAAAGTAAACGTCCCCTCCAGACTGCCCTCTGAAAACCCCCCTCTCCTCTTCCCCCCCTCTCTCTCCATCCCCTCCCCGACTTCGATTGCCTCCTCCTCCTCCTCCTCCTCCTCCTCCTCCTCTTCCCCTCCAATCCCTCCTCACCCACCACGTAGTACCAATCGGACGGGTCACTTCGCCGCCTAAGCAATCCACGAGGCTGCAGACGAACCGCGCTTGGTTCGTTACGATCCAATCCCCGCCTTACCGGCCCTCCCTCCTGACACACACTGTCTCCCCAACCTTCGCAGTTGTCACATTCGGCTTCTACTATCGAAACCGCCGACATTCGCGAACCGTCGTGGGTGCGCATCATCATCATCGCTCGACCGGTCGTGTTCTCCCCCCATGCCTCGCCCGTAAGCTCATCGTCCGGATACGCATGAGGCTCTCGGACCAAGGAACAGGTCTCGATATCGAAGGATTCGGTATTAGAATAAACAAAAGCGCCCTCTGTTGGAAAAGAGACCAAGTCAGCATCGTCGTCGGCCGTCCAACGGTCAACTAGCGCCATACGCTGAAGTTCCAACGGCTACAATCGTCTAGCTTGCTTTGCAAAAACGTTTACGTTGAAATATCCGCGACAGATTCAACTGCGTGCGACAGATGCGTGCGACAGCCACGAATGCTGACGTACGCCGCGCTTACCGCTCGTTACTGTGACGGGTGTTCAGAGACCCGCTGGATAAGCTTAGGTAAGATATCCGGATGAGCGTAACGGCGCTGTAAGGAAAACTGGGGCAGTAATCGGGTGTGCATATAATTCCCGGGGACGACGTGATACTGCTGTGCACGTATCTACCCAGTCCTGGCTGTCGCACTTATGACGACACTTGGACGAAAAAATTGCCGTTTTCGCTGTGCTCTTCTAACTGGCCTCTGGAACGAGGAGCTAGGGCAAGCCACCGCAGTTGTTTTTGTGAAATGCCATTTCCTGGTCGTGCATTGGAGGATGGAGTTGACCTGACGTGGTCGAATGGAGGCGAGATGCGGAAGCTGGCAGCAGCTCACGACAGCCGTGTAATGAGCTGTTGGGGAGAGAAGCGACAACAGGAGAACAGCGAGTTTCTGCTGCTGCGTTTCGCGGAAGAATGGCGTTTGTCAAGAGCATAGACGATGGAGGAGAAAGGTGCCTACACTGCCCACACCTTAGAAAATGTTTTGAATTACGGGTCAAACTACCCACCAGATACTGTACGCGTGGCCAATTGTTCATAGAGCCAATTCTTTCCTATATTTTCGGTACTCAAAATGCTTGAATGCCCGACTACTTTCCGATCGGCAGAGCCGAAATGTGTCCGGGTAGAAATTCCTGAGTGATGTACGCCGGATTCGAGGGGAAACAGGAAACCAAAATGCGGATGAACAAAGATGGTGTGCCGAGGCCAGAATCCCCCAAGAAGAGTGCTTGAACCAAGCAAGGCAATCAATGTGGCTGACGTCAGGGAAGCCTTGGTTCGGCCCAAACCCCACAGTTACTCGCGATAAGAAACCTACAAGCAAACCAGGTACACCTAGCTACGTAACCAGCCAACTACTGATGAAAATATCAATGACTATCCTCTCCAAGGTCAGCTATACAATTGCTTGTAAACCTTCATCCCCACCACAACAGAAGCCAGCCACACAATAATGGGCACCTGCAAAACAACATGTCAAACTCCATTGTTAATCCACTCACCCAGTGCCTATACATACATTCAAACAAAAATTGAATTGCTCCCCTTCCCCATTTTCATACCTTGCCAGTGACAGCACTAACAAGGGCCGGAGCTGGGCAAAAACCAGCCAGCCCCCACCCTGAAAATACAGAGAGATGAAAACAAGAGTATAAGTCAAGCATATGAACGCAAAAAGCAACAAGCATGAAAGAAAAAAACGCTGCTCACGTACCCAGTCCAAAGATTGCCGACCCAATGACCAGCTCTTTTGTGATGTCTTTCCGAGTGGGGAGCGAGAAGGATGGGGCCAATAGGGGATGCCGTTGCTTGAGCACAAAGTGGAATGTGACTATATTGAAGAGCACCGCTCCGCCCATCACGAACGCAAGGCTGGGGTCCCACCCATGGATGGGGTCCAGAAAGGCTTTCACCTTGGCTGGGTTGAGCCTGATTCGAGGAAGGAAACATGGAGAGATTGCAGAGGGGGAGGTGAGGGGAATGAGATTGCGCCATGGATGGGGTCAAGAAATGCCTCCACCTTGGCTGGGTTGAGCCAGATGGGAGGAGGAAACGCAGGGTGAGTAGAGAAGGAAGGTACAGCGAGGTAAAGAGAGAGAGAGGGCAGGAGGAAAAGAGAGAGAGGGCAGGAAGAAAAGAGAGAGGGCAGGAGGAAAAGAAAGAGAGGGCAGGAGGAAAATATAGAGAGGGCAGGAGGAAAAGAGAGAGAGGGCAGGAGGAAAAGAGAGAAAGGGCAGGAGGAAAAGATAGAGAGGGCAGGAGGAAGAGAGAGAAAGAGAGAGAGAGAGAGAGAGAGAGAGAGAGAGAGAGAGAGAGAGAGAGAGAGAGAGAGAGAGAGAGAGAGAGAGAGAGAGAGGACAGGAGGAAAAGAATGATAGAGGGCAGGAGGAAAAGGATGATAGAGGGCAGGAGGAAAAGAATGATAGAGGGCAGGAGGAAAAGAATGATAGAGGGCAGGAGGAAAAGAATGATAGAGGGCAGGAGTAAAAGAATGATAGAGGGCAGGAGGAAAAGAATGATAGAGGGCAGGAGGAAAAGCATGATAGAGGGCAGGAGGAAAAGAATGATAGAGGGCAGGAGGAAAGAATGACAGAGGGCAGGAGGAAAACTGCGCACTACATTCCCATAAGCACATTAAAGTCGTTCTAATGAGGCTCAACAAGAATCTGTTGGGTTTGATACTGAAAGTGAGGCCAGCAGCAAAGATTGCCCCTGAGAGCACGGAATCGAGCAGCAGCAGTAGAGGCGCTGCTCCTGGTGCTTCTGCCTCGGGTGCCTGATAGAGTCAACACGGTACCACAGGCTTAACAAAACACTATTGAGTGAACTCACATGCCACTGAAAGTGAGGCCAGCAGCAAAGACTGCCCCTGAGAGCACGGAAGCAAGCAGCAGCAGTAGAGGCGCTGCTCCTGGCGCTGCTGCCTTGGGCGCCTGATGGGGGGAAGAAAGAAAAAGAAAGAACGAGAAAAGTGAACGTGTGAGGGAAATGTAGGAGGGCATAAGAGCATAACAAAGCAAAGGGGTGAGGGCATGCAAGATGAGATGACACAGCTGACCTCGTCCTTTGTGGCTGAAGGGTGTTTTTGAGAATTCTCAAAAACACCCTGCAAGATGACACAGCTGACCTCGTCCTTTGTGGCTGAAGGGGGGGCGGGAGACGCGGCGATGCCCCTGACGAGGAGAAGCAGCAGCGTGGCCGCACTCACTGCGGGAGGAGGGCGGATGGAGGGAAGACGGCGTGGCTAGAAGCGACAAGCAGGAGACGATGACAAGGCAATGATCCTCAGGAGGAGGCAATGGTCACAATCACTGCGAGATGGATGCGAGAAGAGGGAGAGAGTGAACGTGTTCCTCAGAAGGAGGCCACAAATGCACCCCGGAGAGCCAGCCCAGCCCAACCCAACCCAACCCAACCCAACCCAACTATGGACACTCTTTCCAATGCCCACAGCGACTGATTGAATGTGCAGTCACTTCCGAATGCGCAGGAACCATCTAAGCATCCAAAAAAAAATTGGTGCAGACACAATTTGGTGCATGTACCATCAGGTGCAGACACCACCAGGTGCAGGCTTTACCTGTGAGGGCAACCACCCAGGCGTTAGCAGGCGGGGCAACAGGGGCGGCAGAGGCGACAGGTGGCAGCAGCGCATTGGAGAGGATGGAGGCAACGGCGCCCGTGGTCATGAATGTGCAGACGGCCACAAAGCTGCGGATTGAAAAGCGAGGCAAGCCGCACACACCGTGGCCAGACGTGCACCCGCTGCCCAACTGTATCGAGGGGATCAGGAGGCGGAGGGAGGAAGGAACGGTGGCACTGGGAGCGAAGCAGAGAGCCATAGCGGTGTGTGTATGTGTGTGCACTGTGCAGTGGCGCGGAGGGAGGGGTTGCAAGGACAGGGGGAGACGGGAGGGGGAAAGGGGGGAGGGGGGGTGTAGATCGACATGGAGATGCCAGCTGGCAGCCAGGTCATCAGCAGCAGGGGGTGGATCCAGCCTCTGTGGTTGGTGGCAAAGGTGAGCTCAACCAATCAAGTGTTGGAGATTGACCACGCAGCTGCAAGTGCTGAAAGCGGAGGGCTGGAGATTAGGAAATGCCTGCTCTGGTCCCCACCAGAGAGCTGAAGCCGGCCAGCACACCAGCAGCAGCAGGGAGGAAGAGTGATGAGCTGGGGTCTTGGGCGGGCGAGGGGAAGGTGAGAGCACTGATAGGGGAGCGCGGGAGGTTTGCACTCGCAGATCACCGATCTGAATCCCTTCCCACCTGAGAGCCGAAGCCCGCGAGCACGCCGGCGACAGCAGGGAGCAGGAGCGACGAGACGGGGTCCTGGGCGGGCGAGGGGAAGGTGGGCGCGCCGAACGCGGCGGGCAGGAGGAGATGCGCGGCGCAGCCGACTGCCAGCATGGACGCGAGAAACGCGACGCGGACCGGCCAATCAGGTGCGCCGGAAATAGCACCTGGTGGAAGGGCGAAGGAGGGTGGGGGGGAAGGGGGAAGGAAGGGGGAAGGAAGGGGGAGGAAGGGGGAAGGAAGGGGGAAGGAAGGGGGAAGGAAGGGGGGTTGAGGAGCTTTGGTAGGAGTGAGGAAAGGAGGGCGGAGGGAGATGCGCGGCACGGAGCCGACTGTTGGAATGGAAGCGCGGAACGCGGCGCGGGCGGGTCAATCAGTAGCGCCGGCTGTAGCGCCGGGTAGGGGGGGAGAGGGGGAGAAGTGGTCGGACCAGTGAGTTACACCATGTGGTTATGACGAGACAGACCATGACGATATACCATCTGCATGACACACCGTTGTCTATTGCCGACGCGCCCATGATGCGCCCCGACAGCAGCTCAGAACGAAACCACCGACAATCAATCAATCAATCAATCAATTCAATCAATCAATCAATCAATCAATCAATCAATTCAATCAATCAATCAAATCAATCAATCAATCAATCAATCAATCAATTCAATCAATCAATCAATCAATCAATCAATCAATTCAATCAATCAATCAATCAATCAAATCAATCAATCAATCAATCAATCAATCAATCAATCAATCAATCAATCAATCAATCAATCAATCAATCAATCAATCAATCAATCAATCAATCAATCAATCAATCAATCAATCAATCAATCAATCAATCAATCAATCAATCAATCAATCAATCAATCAATCAATCAATTCAATCAATCAATCAATCAATTCAATCAATTCAATCAAATCAATCAATCAATTCAATCAAATCAATCAATCAATCGGCTACACACGGACTTAAAAAGACACCAACACGCACCGTTGATGATTCCCGACGCGCCCATGATGCGCCCCGACAGCAGCAGGTGCAGCGTCGCCGCCACGCCGATCAAGACGCCGCCGAATAGCGAGCTCCACGGCGTGAAAACCGGCGCCCCGGCCGCTGCCGCCATCGCTCGGAAGCTAGTCGGCGACGCTACGGCCGGCACTGCTACGGCCTGCGCGGTGGACGCGGCGAAAGTTGCGCCGGAAGATACGGACGCGAAAGCGCCGGATGGAAGATTTTGCGAGCTTTCTGGAGCTGAGGGATTCACCACAGGCTGGACCGGGGAGGAGGGGGATCCAGAGCCGGGAAAGCCGGCGGGAGTGCCGGCGGGAATGGCGGCGGTGGACGCGGGAAAAGATCCTGCGCGAACTGCCAAGGGAGCACGGCGACACCCCGAACGACTGCTAGGAAGGAAACACGCCGGAGGAAAGCACGCCCTCCCTAACCCTAGTAATGTCTGCCCTAATGCCAGACTCGGCTCCAAACCGAAAGTGGATTGCCGCCACGCAAGCGCACGGGGGGGGCGCGAAGTAGCCGCT